AGGAATTGATTCGGTTTTCTCAAGCAAAGGAAGAGTCACTCGGGAATGAGTCACCCTAGCTCCTTAGTTAGGTCTCAATTGTAATTACACTGGATTGATTTACTATTGATTAGACTGCGGAAGATCCGACAGTAGCTTGGAATCTCTTAAGCCGACCAAGCCCTCTCAGTCTAACTACCCGGCAGATGACTAGTCTTCACCGGGATAGAAAGCTGAAGCAGTAAGCACAGAACTCCACTAGTGGAATTGGATTCCGGTACAAAGCACTAAACTGGCTAACTCTCGTATAGCCAATCTCCTACTACCGAATGAAGAAGCTCTACAAACCTAATCAGATTCGATCTATCTCAGGTTGCAGCAGAAATCAAGAAAAGCTGATCAGACTTCAATCAATTCAATGAAACATGCATCATTTGATTAAAACCAAACAGTATAATCATCCCAAGTCATTACAATCAAATCCCTAACACATGGAACTAGTGTTCTTCATACCCAAGTGGGAGAAGGGTTCTACTCCATAGAGAGAGAGGAAAACAGAAATCAGAGTAGTCATACTCATTAAGATGAGGAAAATCTGCTATGGGATGTCAATCTTCACTCCTGGGGACGCAATCTGGGCTTCAATGGTGAGAAATCCACTCCAAATAGCTCCTAGGGTTTGTTCTTCACCCTTTCTCTCTCTAAAACTCTGTTTTTGCTCTGAAAAGTCGATTCTCCCTCCTTTGGCTCGAATCTGCCTCAAAAACCCGATTCTGGGCAAATTACGGGCAGAATTACGATCGTAATTGTGGTCTGCCCGTAATTACCCAAAACGAGCGTTTCACTTGACTCGGAAGATAGGATTCACGGTCGTAATTTGCCAACTACCGCCAGTAATTACTTAATTACGACCGTAATTCAAGTGACTTTTGCCCGTAATTGACTCTGCGACAGGAATTCTGGAAATTAGGCTTGGCATTGAAATTACGGGCATGCCAGGGACAATTACGACCGTAATTGTGCAGGGGCTACCCGTAATTTCCCTTTTAAAGCGCAATCCGACCTCCAAATGACCCGAAACTTGTGCCTATGCACCTCTTTACTTGCTAGGACCTGAAATACGCCAAAACAACACAACCTAGCGTAAAATAGGCAAAGGAACAACAAATTCGAGCTAAAATGGTCAGGAAAAAAAGGTGAAAACATGTGCAAATACGATGCTATCAGCCACCTCCTTTGCTGTATAGTTCTTTAGAACATGGTAGAGCCACTTCTTACAAGAGAGACCATCTGCTTTGTAGAACATTTCAATAATAGGTGCTTACTCCAAATCCGTATATTCCAACTAAAATCCACCAGGAAATGCTTGAGTGGTTCCTTCATTCAACAATTAGGGCATTCATCTCCAAGGTACCTAAATTTCTTACAAATTTTAACACCTATGGGCAGAATGTTATCGCCTATTTTCCACATAAAGGTTTTAAGTTTACCTGACACTTTTAGATTCCAAAGATCCTTCCAGCAGAAACCTTCTTCATTTTGCTCCATTCTCTCCACTCTTTCCAACTCCCTTCTTCTTTGTTCAGTGATATATCCTGTCTTCACAGGATATTTTCCATCCCCCGCCCCTATCCAACATAAAACATCATTTTCAATTTCTGAAGAGAGGGGGATTGCCAAAATAGCTTATTGTTCTTTAGTTATAAAGATGAGCTCAAGTACATCACGTCTCCAGGTCCTAAAATCTTGATCAATAAGACATGAGACTCTTCCATCCCAATCCATAAAAGGGCAGTACGAAAACACTTCATGGTTTTCCAGGTTCGACACCCATTTGTCTCCCCATATTTGAACATCATCCCCAGAACCAATCCTCCATCTGCAGCCGTACTTAAGAAGATCTTGTGCTCCCATCAGGCTTCGTCCATTGTAGCTAGGTCTCCAGCCAAACTGAGCTTCCAAGATCAATTTTTTTGGGTGGTATTTCGGGTGTTTACAGAGCTTCTCCCACTTCTTCCAATGATTCCTTCTTTCCAAACCCTTCTATCCCCACCAGTAATTAGCCATCAGGCTGTGAATATCTTCAATGATACCATCTGGGATTCTAAAAACCGACATAGCGTACGTTGTTTGCGCTTGTGCAATGCTTTTGATCAATATTTCTTTCCATGCATCAGAGAAATACCTGCTTTTCCAATTTGTGAGCTTGCTTCTGACTCGTTCTTGCAGGCTGTGAAAGACATCCTTCTTTGACCTCCCCACCATCGTAGAAACCCAAGATACTTTGTCATCATATCTACTTCCTTTATTCCCATCTCAGTACAAATTTCTGCTCTTTTGTCATCTCTGATGTTGCCGCTGTAGTAGATTTCAGACTTTGTAAGGTTCACCATCTGTCCTGGCTCAATTTCATACCACTTGAGGGTTTCTCTCAGCTACCCTGCCTTGGAGATGTTTGCCCTTGCAAAAAGAATGCAGTCATCAACAAAGAGGATGTGCGAAATCATGGGAGCTCGATTACAAATTTTTATTCCATGGATTTTTCTATCCTCCACATACTTATTAATCAGAGAAGATAGACCTTCAGAGCAAAGAAGAAAGAGGTATGGGGAGAGCGGGTCTCCCTGCCTCAATCACCTTCTAAAGAAATTCGACTTGTATCCATTTACCAGAACTGCATAGGAAACAGAAGACACAAGAGACATAATCAATTTAATCAAAGCCTCGTCAAATCCCATTATTCTCATAATTCTTTCAAGAAAACCCCATTCAACTCGATCATAGGCTTTCGTCATGTCAAGTTTGAGAACCAGAAAACCCTTTTCACCTTTAGTTTTCTTCTTCATCGTAAAGAAACACTCGAAAGCAACTATCACATTGTCAACAATTGATATTCCCGGAACAAAAGCACTTTGTGATTCACAAATAAGGTCATCCAAGATCCCTTTAAGGCGATTAGCAATAATTTTTTACAGAATCTTATAAAGAACAGTGCAAAGTCTGATCGGCCTATAATCTTTAGGGTATATCGTGTTTTTAATCTTAGGGAACAAAGGAATAAGAATCTTATTGAGACTTTCCGGAATTTTACCATTGTGCAGGAAGCTTGTCAATTCCGCAGTAATGCGGGGGACAAGGGTGTTCCAGTTCTTTTGGAAGAACAGAGCAGGCAAGCCGTCATCTCTATGGGTTTGGCCGCGCCAATTTGGAACAGGGCCTTTTGGATCTCTTAAGCTGTGAATGGCTTGAGAAGACTTTGACTCATTTCATTTGTCACCTTTTTCTCAATTGCTTCAATAACCCTCCAGCTCACTTCCCCAGTCTTGCTCTCGAATAAGTCGCCATAATAGAAAGTGAGGCAGCCGGTAACCTCCTCTTGCCCTCTAAAAATTCTCCCACTATCATCTTTCAGTTTGCGGATCGTGTTCTTCCTTCTCCTCTCAATAGCCTTTGCATGAAAAGCCTTCGAATTTTTATCTCCCTCTTTCAGCCACTCCATCCTCAAGTGTTGCTTCCATCTCTGCTCGTTCTTATAGAGAAGTTCGTGTAATTTGATATCCAGACTCCTCTTCCTGGATCTCTAAGTCGAATCCCTTGCTTGCATCTTCATCTCTTTGATTTTCCTTTGAATCTGGGAAATTTTTTTGGGGATCTCACCAAACTTTTCTGAGCTCCAATTGGTAAGTCTAACTTCACATTGCTTCAGACTTTCTTCGATATTATCTACTCCTGCGTTCTCCCAAAATTCATTCACAATTATACTTTCTCTTCCTCTTTTGCCCAGAACGATTCAAACCGAAAGCTTTTCCCCCATTTGATCTCAATTTCCTTCTCACTCTCAAAGTCAATTAGAGTGGGTAGGGGGTCTGAGACAACATCATCTAGATGAAGAACAAGTGCCTTCGGGAACAAGTCCATCCATTTTATGTTTGCCACAGCTCGGTCCAGGCATTCTTCAATGAGAGCTTGTCCATCTCTTTTGTTTTCCCACGTATATGGGTAACCAATGAAGCCCAAGTCAATGAGCCCGCTGTCGGACAAAGCAGTATTGAAGCCCATCAATCTCTGTTCCTGTACCAGCCTGCCTCCTGCCTTTTCACCATTTGTACAGATCTGGTTAAAATCTCCAGCGCACAGCCAAGCTTCATCACTTATATTATTCAGGTTCCTTATCAATTCCCAAGTAAGATGATGGTTCTCCTTCTCAGGGTGCCCATAAAAACCAGTAAATCGCCATTTCCTGTTACCTTCAACTTCAACTATATAAACATCCATAACATTCTTTATAATTGTTTTGATGGTAACCCTTAACTCCTTTTTCCAAAACAGACATAATCCTCCTGACTTCCCCTCTACTGGAACCCCATCTCCACAGTCAAAACCCAACTCAAATTGCACTTTCTCCCATTCTGCATTTTGCAACTTCGTTTCCATCAAGAAGATCATCTGGGGTTTGTGGAATCGAATGATCGATCATAAAGAAGCAACTGCCAAAGGATTCCCCAACCCCTGGCAGTTGAGACTTAGGAGATTCATTGCGGAAGGCGGCCTTGCAACTCTGCAGGGTCCGCCTCTGGTTCTTCTGAATAAACTGTTGAAGTGTTCCACGTGCGTTTTCCTTCTTTGTGCTTCACTTCACCTTCTTCATCTCCAGCATCTATGTCCATATTATCCTCATTTCTTCTTTTCTCACCTATGATAAATTTCTCATTGCTATCTCCTACGTTCCTTCCTTCCTTTTTTATCCTAGTCCAAGTTTTTTGGCCCGTCTTCTTTTCCCCTGGGCCCTTCTTGCTTTTATTGCTTTCTTCGTTGTTATTGCTCTGTGCTTCCTGCTTATTATTTTGGCCCATTATGACCAAGCCCGAGAAGACTTGGTTTAACGGGTCGGCCTTTACCCCAATATTCTTCTGACTGTTCTGTTCTTCTTTTTTCTAGTACATCCCTTTCCTGATCCATAAGATTAAGATCACTTTTTTCGTTTGGTTTTCCCACACTGGCACCTTCGCTTTCCTCCCCAATCACTTTTTTTTTGTCTCGGCCCCCGGTTTAATAAAATCGAATAACTTCCTTCGAGGTGCCCCAGAAGGCAGTTGAACCGTCATCTCAGGAGTTACCCGACTCGCCATCCATTCATCGGAACTGTTATCGGACCTCTTTAGCTTCGCTTCCATCCACAGCGTCGTCAACGTCCCTACTTCAGATCCTCCTCTGAACTTGACCCGCTTAACTGGCGACATAGCTCTCAGCCATCTCCCGTACTGTACTTCTTCTTCTTGAATAAGTTCTTCCTTGCATATTTTCTTCAAAATGGCCCAGGATGCCACAATTGCAGCAGAAGTTAGGCAACTTTTCATAAGCAACTTTGAACCTGACGTTTTCACTACCCTCTGTAAGAAGGACTCATCTCCTTAATGGCTTAGTCACATTAAAGGAGACTCTCAGTCTCATATAATTGCTCCACGGTCCTGAGTTATCTGCATCAAAGACAACCAGAGAACCAAACATTGAACCAATTTTACCAGCCATCATCTCCGTTCTCATTTTTGGCGGAAGCTTTCTTATTCTGACCCATATTTCCGTTTAACTGAAGTCGATCTCCGATACCTCCTTGTCTCTTTCCACCGGCTTTAGAATCATTAGCTGATTGTCCAAGTGCCATGGACCACCATAAATGGCCTTCTTGCGATCCTCTTCACTGAAAAAATGAAAAGCGTAACGATAATCACCAACTAACTCAACGGCGAACTCTTTCTTCGGTTTCCATGTTGCAGTCAGAGCTGTGTTCAAGAATTTGATTCCTGGCAATTTTGTCCCCTAAAGCAGTCCCACCACACCCAACTCTTCAATCACTTCTTCAACTCTCTCATCCACATCTTCTTCATCAACCTTGATAATGTTTGCCTCTTCTTCCGGCAGGTGAAAGTTCGTTAGTTTCTTCTTAATTTCCGAAGCCATCACTTTAAATATCAAAGAGCTAGCAGGATCAAAAGGATAGACCAAGAATCATTAGCCAGACAGGATCAAAAGAATAAAGGAAGGAGGAGGACAAGAAAGGATAACAGTAGAAGAGCGAAGAAGGAAGATGAAAAGTCACAAGCACTCGCTTGACAGGTAGGCTCTCACACAGGAGACAGAGGAAAAAACTCTCAAAGAGCGAGAGAAAAAATCATATTCCTTATTGAAAAAAAGTAGCGACCAAATTCAAACGATACATCTATGTAATTAATAAGAGTGCCGTATATTGCTATTTCGACTCAATTTTAGAACCATCCAACGACCAATCTAACAATCGTTCTTCCTCGTCGACTTTAATCCTACCTTCATGGCAAGGATTGCATCACTCGGGGTCATAACTTCTTCCAAGGGCTTTGAACTTGGAAAAAAATTCTGAACCACTGATCCCAAGTATTAATTTTCAGGAGTATGTTAGTTAACCTACACTTGCCACCAAAATACAATGTCAACCGAGAAAAAATTAGACTAACATGAGCAATATCAACAGTATTGACCAATTATTGACAGCTGGAGACATATATGGTTAAATGAAATCGACTCCATTTTTCAAGGATTTCGTAGGACTGTAATTTGATTCGTGGTTCAACTAATGTTGTATATTTATTTCTTGAAGAATATGGAACTTTCTTAGATTCATCATGATTGTGGCTTCGTCTGCACTTAATTAGGTCTCATGTATTTGGTAAGATCTCATTGTAATCTACCTGTTCTCCTTACGGTACATCAATGCGTGTCTCTAAAATCTCAGGTCCAATGGTTTTAGGACCTCCGACTTCGTTAATATAATTAACATGTACTCATAAAATGGAAATTCCTTAAGAAAAATGTAAAAGTAAGACCCTTCCTATGATAAAGAGAAAAAGAACTGCAAAAATGTAGACTAGAAAATGACAATTTTCATGCAGTTGATTATGTGTAGAACCTTATTGTTTTAAGTCTTTTTTTTTTTTTTGACGAATTATCGGTACAAGTCTATGCATAATCATTCTCCATATGATATTTTTAACAGAAATATTATATTTATCATTAATTAAAATAATTATCAGAAATATTATATTTTTCAATATATTTATATAAATATTAAAATAGATAAGTGCCTGTTGCGCACATAACAATGAAACTTGAAACTTTAGCTCAATTTAAACAGCCACATGCACACAAAGCGAAAGATATGAAATTTAGTTAGTATGCGCCGCCTATGTGCCGCCGTTCATTATCACATGCATGTCGACCTAAAGTTTTTCTTCCGAAGCAAACAACTTCATGTTACTCGGTATGTTCATTATAACATGAAAGAATTGAATTCTCGTCGATAATTGTGTTTGTTCGTCATTAATATATATTTTGGGCTGGTTTCAATTTCCCACATTCATAATTATTTAAAATTTCATTTTCTGCATTAGAAATACGTCGCTACAGGAAAACTGATTTTTGGACACGGTACCTATTCACGGGAACTTTTACTGTACTTAAAAGTATACTAGCAGTCACGGGAAAATTTCCTATAATTGACGATATAGATCTAAACACGGGAATTGATTTTATAATTTTTAAGTCCTTATTTACCGTGACTAATTGTTAATCACGATTAATTACCGTGAACACTGTCATAATTTTAGTTCAAAACATTTACCAAAATTTAAGTGGGAAAAATTTGGTTTGGCTCCAAACTTCCTCCCCTCCAAAACTTCCCACAAACAAAATTTCGTTTGTGCTCCAAAAAGCTGCCAACGAAAATTATCCCGCCCACCCGTAAAACAAAAGCAAAAGTGGGGGTTGCACATCACGATTTATGTTCTCTAGATTCCCATCGTAAATCAAAAGCAAAAGTGGAAGTCGATTCTCCATCCCACCTCTTTTACTTCCAATTTCATTCTCTTTCTGGCTTAGAGCTTCAGACTCCTCGACAATCCTCATACGTTTTCCCTCTTCTTCGCATAAAATCTCTATCATGAATTATAGATCTGGGTTGTACCATGTATATGAGGGTTTCGCCATTCTCTTTCCCTCTTCTACTTGCACGTCTCCTACTCGATCTCTGAAATCCATTCAGCAAACTCGACTCATCAGGGCTAACACTCTGAAATCAACAAGCTCCATTTCGTTCCCGCTGGCAACTTCGCTTAACTTCCTCGAAGATTCTACCTAGCTGGTAAACCCCTCTCTCACACCAAAATCCAATTTATTCTATCCCATTCCCTAAGTTGAGCTCCGTATTGAGTAATTGTGATGTGGTTTCGCGCAAATCTTGATAGATTTGTAGCGTCTTGGTGTTGTCTGTTTCATTCATCCAGACTCTCAAGGACATGGTTCTAGGTATGGGGCTTCAACTGTGGGAGGGAAGCACGGGGAACTTTGGGCCCGCTGGAGACGAAGTCACCGCCCTACCTTCCCGCTCTCAATTTAGAGGAGACAGAGGAAGTCATCGTTAATGATTACTTTCGCCGAAAATGGTGGATGCTTGGACATGCACAACTTATCGGTAGGTTTGATATAAGGAATCTAGCTGATACACTCTCGATTCCTTCATACGTCTATACTGACTAATTAAGCTTGTTAAATGATTTTGGTTACTGGCCTAGCTAATTTAGGGTTATTAGATGGTTTGGGATTCTAAGATTAAGGATTGGTGTTTGGTTTGTAGTAACAAGTTCTTCAGTAATCTAGGATTTTGTGGTTGAATCTAGTATCGGGGGTCTTTGGGAATTTGTTTATTTCTATACTTCTTCTGGATAACTCATGAAGTTGCTTAACTTAAGCCTCTCTCATCTGCTACAACTTGAGAAAGCATAAGTCATGAGGACTCAAGCAAGCATTAGGATTAAGAATAAAGAGACATTGTGCAGAAGGAACAAGTTCCATCCCAACCTCTCAAGTGGTTTTGTGTTTAATACTAGACATGTTTGATTTGTTTGTAATTTATCCTTCTTGTCTCTGTCTCCGAACATAGAAGTTTGCAGTTATGTGGGCATGAAGATGTCCATGTAATGCTAAGCTTCGTGGGGGAAGATACATATTCCAAAGCATGGAGCTAAGATGTTGCAGATGTATAATGACAAGCAATTTCTATTTTTCCGAGCTTAAAAAGTATTCACTAAACTTTGATACTAACAGATTATGGATTTCTAGTATCTCACTTATTGGATTTGTTGGTTGTTCTGGCGGCAAGAGGTTAGTAATGTTGGAGGGTGTAGTTTTGGACATGCAAAGTGGAACCAAAAGCTCTGGATCGTACATTGATAATGAGGATTCTTTTGTGTGCCTTGCTGTATCATTGCTAACGTTTTCATGTGACTTTGCATCCCAAATATTTACCAAACGAATCAAACAAAGGCTTCTAGTATTCTTGCTATGGAGTCATGTTAGTATAACTTCTCAGTTAAATAATTGAGTAATCTCTTGCTAATGTTGTTGGCCACGAAGTGACCGGGATTGGATTTACTGCTGCTTGTATAGTTATCTCTTCTCATGTACATTAAAGTAAACTCTGATTCATCTGTTTGCTGCAGATTCCTAGCAGGAATCTTGATATAGCTTGTCATCAGAGGTCAGAGTTGTTTCTGTTATGGGTTAATAGCGGTCTCCTGGTCCGCACAGTAATAATTTCTAATGCTTTTGTAATCCTGAAACAAGCTAACAATCAGTAACTTAATGCTATGTTGGATGCTAGATGTGTCAAAGTTTAAGGGTGGAAAGGTTAATATACTACTCTATGGTCCTATAACTTAGAAGGTCTTACTTTGGAACTAGAGTCTTATTCTTAAAAATTCTTTTTGTGACGTGTCCTGATTTGCATACATTCAACATGGATGGGTCTTATATTCTTCTGAATGATGTCACTATAAAATTTTAGCTTCTCATTTGGATCTTGTTTCTAGGGCGGATAAACCTTAGTATGTTTTAGTTAGGCGTTTAAACTTCCAGTTCTGTCATTCCTATCTCTTTTCTGCTGTTACTAGTTGCTGCCAATTTTTGTTAAAGGTAGATCCCGAAGGGGAGGACTGAGTTACATCTAGTAGTTCGGTGTATCTATTTCTATACTGTTGTGGATTGTTTTTATCTTTCAGCATCTGTGATTTCAGGTTATAAATGAATTCTGGACTGGAAGGCTTGCTTTGAGCCCAGAACGCAATATGCTACTTATTTCTTTCTTTTTTGGTTTTATTAGCTCCCTTCTGAAATTCATTGGTGTAGATAATTTAGTTGGTGTTCTGGATAATACTTGCAGTATTGTCTCAAGTTCTTTGTATGGGTTGTATTTGGTTTTGCAGGTGCTTCTCAGGTGTGTTAAGAACACTGATAGAGCATTGAAGCAGTACTGTTAGAGTGCTAGAGACAT